CACAGCAGTAAGAGCTTCTACTGCAACGTCTGCTTTTTATTTCAGCTCTGCAGGAGTTAAACCCAGTCCTTTCATTGGTTCGGCAGCTTTAAGGCAGCAAATAAAAGTCAAAATGTGTGAATTCGGGACATTAGTTCTCCATCGTGCCTGCTGCTAGCATGTTCTTGTGCTAAATGAACATAAGCACCTTATTCTTTCGTTTCTAACTTTCACTTCCCCCTCTGGGTGTTAGGAAATATCCAAAGAAAAGCCACACCTTCTTATAAGCTGCATGGTTTCAAGAGTGGGGAAAAAGTAGTGGCTTATATTCGGGAAAATACGGTACTTTTTGAAAACTGTGGGCTGCTTTTTATAGGGAAGTCCTGCATTCAACACATTTAATTAGAAAATTACAGCTTTTAAGCCTAGCAACAGACTCCCCACATCATGCTGCTGCCACCACCGTGGCTCACTATGGAGTGACTGGAGCAGTTCCTCTGCATGCTACTCATCTGATCAATGCTCTCCTGTCCAGCATGTCAGTGCAGGTCAGTGGAAATTTCCCTGAAGGGCTGCTTCATATGTTGGACTGATTCATTTGGGAGATTTTTCAATCTTGACCGGTCTGAATAGGGCTGGTTTCTTTGGTTTTTACCTCTAAAAGTTGTTGGTTGTGCAGGATTTAAATTCAGGAGTATCTGAGTTTAGTGGGCCTACATTCAAATGTACTCCACACTTGTTATTCCAGTAAATTTTGTGGCCGTAATGCTGCAAAGTGTGGAAAGGTTTGACTCCTTTTCAAGGCACTGGGTGTGTGATTAGGATCTTGTCTCATGCTCTGATATGCAGACGGACGTCCCACCTTCATGTCTCTCCACCACATCCTCCTGTGCAGCTGCTTGGCCCGGCTGCTGAACGCCGACGCGTGGTCCGACAAGCTCTCTGCTCCATGTGAAAGCAGGGGAATAGACACAATTGGACATTTGTCAGTCAAACAAACAAGCAGGTTTTACTTCACTTTTAAGATAGAGCGACTGAGTAGATTTAAATACTTTTCTAGGCGTTGGCAAGGACTCCTACATTTCCAAAACAGAGACTTTCCGCCCCACCTTCCTCCCTCCTGTCCTCATTCTAACATCTCCCCTCTACCAGCTCGCCCACGCGTTGCCTTCTCTTTCTGACACACCGTTGTTAACGTATGCCAGCTCAGCCCCTCTTTGTGTCTGCTGTTTCCATCTTCACCGGCCTGTTTACGACCAGCCGCTACTACAAAGAGACACGCCCACACAGGGCTTCTGGGAAGATGCTCGTTAATCCTGAGGAATTTAACAACGGGTTGCCTGCCAGCGGCTCGAGGGGGAGAGACGAGCTGTCAGTCAGAGAGCATGGTGTTGTCCACATAAAGACAGCTCTTAGGGATAATATGCGGTCACAAAAGTGTCCCCATAAACAACCAAAGAACACAGAGAAAAAATATGGTCCAGATGTGCCTCTTTGTTCTGGCAGGTTGTCTTTATCAGCAGACAAGTCAAAGTACTGAGCTTTGTTTGGAGCCTCCATGCTGTGTAAATGTTGTTTAATGGAGCAAAGTCAGTTGTTAAAAGTTTTCAGATTCGCAGCCGGGAAATCACTCAGAACACAGAGTGGACGGATGTGTTTACACAGAGGAAATTAATCACTCCAAGGAGAAATGTCTTTAATGGACCACGGAAAATGGTTCTGCTGATTAATCGCTGTCTTTATGACACTAATGAACATTTCTAATCAGAAAATAGAGCTGATGAAGTGGGACTTCCTCACGACGCACTAACACCTTTTTGAAAGCAATCCCAGCCTCGACATTCACACTCACCTCATCCACAAACCCACACCTGTTCACTGCCTTATTTAAGAGCTCATGCTGAACTCATTTACAGCTTTAATAGCACGTCTTTAAGCTGCGCAGTACTGAGGTCGCTGTATTAGTTCTGTTGGATCTGGATCTACTTGTGATGCCTTTGATCATGTCATACTATTTCACTAAGTATTACCTGCTGATATACAGCTTGACATGACAACTGTGGTGTGCCTCAGGGCTCTATAGTTGGACCTGTGGATTTTTCTCTCCACT